CCCCAAAACCCCAAAACCCCAAAACCCCTTAAAGTAAAATTTGAATATTTTTGGATGATGTTGATAAAAAAATAGGAAGTAAATAAGCATATATTTATATAACTAAATTGATTAATCGATTAATCACTCATTTAGATCATTGCTAATTGACGAAGATGATTTAGTCTGTTCTCCACTCTGACTCAGACTTGATCCTTAATTTTACTGCTTCATTGGAATATCATCTTGGCTTCCAGATCTACTTGCATATCTGAGATAAAGCATACCATTTGGATATTTGATCTTATTATCTTCATATTCTTGCCTTTTCTCTTCTGAATGATAAAGCATTATTTCTTCATACATTAGATCTCTATAATCATTGCTTTTCAGGTCATAAATCTCAAAGTCAAAATCAAAGGCGTCCACTGGCTAGGTAGTGGGCTCATCATCTGGGCAGTGTAACTCAGCAAGATAGGGATGGCTCAAGGCTTACTCAACTGTTATTCTCTTGTTTGGATCAAATGCTAGCATTCTTTTCAAAAGATCTACTGCTAATTCTGAGCATCCTTAAAATCGTTCCTCGAATGAGGTTCTTTAAATTAATGTCGTAGGAAGTGCATTGAGGAGTTCCTTATCTTAAATGTCACTAAATATCTCAATTTCCTCTGGAGTAGGGTACCCTAATAACTCAACTATCATTTGCATTTGCTCTTCTTATTCGTGGCCAGGGAATAATCTCTGTCTAGTCAGCATTTCAGCAAAAATACAACCGACAGACCAAATATCTATTGCTGAAGAGTATTTCTTCCATGAAAGTAGCACTTCTGGGGCTCTGTACCATCTGGTTGTAATGTAATCAGTAAGTACAACAGAATGTGTCTAGAGTAGTGATATATCTGCCCTAGCTAATCCGAAATCACATATTTTCAAGTCGCAGTTAGTATTTACCAGCAGATTTTTTGGTTTTAAGTCTCTATGCAATATTCCAGCAGAATGAATGTACTTAAGACCTCTGAGAATCTAATATAAGAAAAATTGAATGTGTTCCTCTGTCAGACCTTAATCAGAACGAATTATGGTCTCTAAATCAGTTTCCATGAGATCACTCACTAAGTATATGTCATCTAGCTGTTCTTTGGTTTGGCCTGGCGGCAATAGAATCGTTTTCAAACCCAAAACATTCTCATGCTGCAATAATCGGAGAATTTTGAGTTCTCTGAGTGTCCTTTATAAAAACACTTTATGCTCAAATGCTCTTTCGATCTTTTTAATTGCTACTAGATTGTTCTCCTAATCTTCAGAGTCAAGATCTTTAGCAGCTACCACAATGCCATACGCTCCTTAACCCATTGGATCAAGAATCTCATATTATTTTTATATTTAAAACTTTGAACCACAAACTATCCATGTTTTTATGTCTTCATCTTAAGTTTCAGTAATCAACTTTACATCCTAAGGAAAAGCTGCTTAATGTTGTGATCCTTTCATTTTAATTAATTTATTAATACTAGATCTTTAAATTAATTTTATAATATTTTTTTTTGTATCAAATCTACTAATTTACAATAGAGGGGTTTTGGGGTTTTGGGGTTTTGGGGTTTTGGGG